TTAAACATTTCTTTCAATGTAAGTTGTTTAAGTTGCTTCATTTTTTATGTGATAATACATTCTCTTTAATTCTATAAACAGACATAATTTCTTGTTCAGTTACAAAGTTCCGCTGTTCAAGTCCTATAATTGCTGTGTTGAGAATACCGACTAATTTGTCAATCGAAATGTTTTCGTTTTCAATAACCTCTGGGTCACTATCGGAAGGGAATTATAATGACGAGGAACTTGATTTAAATCATATCAAAGACTATAAACCAAATAAAATAAAAACATCTGCCCTGAAGATAAGGATAGTGCTGACAGATTAACTTCCAATCCGCCGCGTGAAATTGATAAACAGATTTCGGATTTCAAAACATACTTTCGCTTTGTAGATACAAATTACATATTAGTAAATATATATCGGAAATTCTACTTGACATAATCTTTCTAATCTATCATAATCTAATAATGACGTTTCTGCCCCCCCCTCTGCCGCAGAGCAGCGTGAAATTGATAAACAGATTTCGGATTTCAAAACATACTTTCGCTTTGTAGTAAATATATATCGGAAATTCTATTTGACATAATCGAAAGTTCACGCTTACTTTTATAAAATTGCTCTAACAGTCTGCAAAAAATAATAAGCCGGATCCAATTCGAAGATTAAGGAACAATGCAATCTGCAACATTAACTGAATTAGATAACTTTAGCTTAGCGTATAACTCCGTTACACATTAAACGCGCATGCGCACAAACATATTCGCAGCCGTAAGGGTTTTACGTGCTCTCGTAAACGCCTGTGCGCATGCGTGAACGCGACGCATGCGCAGAAAGTTTGTAGCTTTGAGGTCCGGATTATAGATCATTCCGGATTATGGGTGTCCGAATTAACGACTTTTGACTGTACATCAAAAATGCACTTTTTGATTTACAGTTCTGTTACTTGTTTACCAAGAATACTAAAAAATAATAAAACACTTAACCCTTAAAATATAATAACCTACCATTTGGATATTATTTCAAAAACTGGGGGAGAAAAAAATATATATACAATGAAACATCACTTTACATCTTTCAGTGTGAAGGTAAAAAAAAAATATTAATGCTCGAAAAAAGTTAAGCTAAGAAACTCTCAAATAATGCAAGTAAATATTTTTATTACTTTCAACATGCATACACAACATTTTTAACAAAAACAAAAGACAAAAAAGTTGCATGTTGTATTTTGCTTTTTGGCTCTATTTTCCCTGCATTTTATTTTTTTAATTGCATGCATTTTTTTTTTTTTTTTTTTTTTTTTTTTGCGATTTAAGTGTATTTTAAGATATCAGTTTGTTAATTACATGATAAAACTGCCTGGTGTTCTTTATTTGCACACATTCTTCAACAGTTACTAAGGGATAGCAAAATTTTGTAGACATCATCCAGGAAGTGAAACATAAATCTAGTGCAGAGGATCTATGGTACTTCTATCAAGTTAAATAAAATAATATTGATTTTGGATCTTGGGAAAGAACAAGATTACAAAATCTTAGTGGGAATGAAGTAATATGGAGAAATCACAAGAAATGCAGCCTTGCATGTGAATGGCAACAGACTTCATATTAATTGGTAGCTACTATTGGCCTTTCATTCTGCAATGTATGCATTGGTTTAGCATGCCTTCTATGGGATTGTTTGGAATCGTTGCTGAGATACTTCTTGCAAAGTAGTTTGGAGATTTGGTACATTTTGGGATAGTAGTCTGCTCTGCATATGCATATGTGAAGCTGATCTGGATTTGGCAGTTTTCAACAATCATGAGCTAACACTTTTTGAGTCAAATATTACTTTGTTGCCTTTCAGTAATACTTTGTTCTAACTTGATACATCCAACTGTATGTCTATAATTGGACTCCGCAAATATTGTTATAAAGACCTTATATTTGCCATAATGGAATTATTCCTCTGGAAAATATGTAGCATACTCTCATTTTTACCATAATGTCTTGTTGGAGCGTATTTTGAGTTGACAGCAATTTGTAATACATTCCTTTTCTGAAAATGATAAAATTTGCACCTACCCACTTGTTGAGTTTTATTGAACAAATTTAAAAAAAAAAAAAAAAAAAAATTCCTTAGCAATTTATCAAGGTGTGTATTTTTAGATAAACATGAACAGACTGGCTTAATTTATTTTACGGTATCTTTTTTTCTTTATAGCTGCATCATATTCACAATATCATCCATCTAAAGGTTATTGGTGGGAATTCAAGGATAATGAAAAAACAGGTAATTTATTGCAGTATTAAATTTTAAAATTCACTGAGATTTTAGTTTTGGGTAGCATTTTATTTTCTTGTTTTATGATTATATGTTAATTTAGGCAAATTTTTATAATACCTGTTTGTTTGTTCTACTGCCTTAAAATATGACATGGCCAAATGAAATGATTAAATATTTAAAAATATGTCATGTCATAATATATGTCAATATTTAAAAATATGTCATTTATAATGATCCCTATGCTGTGCAATATACCTATTCCAACATTCTGGAAGCTGCTTTATTTCCTCTTCAAAGAAAGTGTTTTGATTGGGTAGCTTTCTATTCTTGAATCACTGTGAAGATGCTGGAGAAAACCAGGGCTAAATGTGGCAAGCCTGGTCAAAATTTAAGAATTGAAGATCTCATCTTCCACTAAAAAAATAATAATTATTATTTGTTATTCCACTTATTGAGGCATTTCTTATTTATTCACCATTCTCAGAGGCACTGTTTATGACTTCAAGCTGTAACTGCACTATACAACACATGGTGGTTGGATTATTAAGGCCTGTTCCCACTAGGGTTTATCTGAGCTAACGAACACAACTAACGTAGTCGACCCATCCCCAAAACCAGTTTTTCCCCATAGAGCAGCATGTTGAAAAATCTGAACTGCAGGCACAGCGGAGCTAGTCGACACAGGGAACTGACTCCGTTAGCTCAGATAAACCCCAGTGGGAACAGCGCTTTAGGTCATTTCTGTGCCGCAGTACAGCACATGAAAAATCTAACAGTTCCTTCGTATTTGAATATCGTAATATGTAAGCATAATACAATCTTATAAGCTTGCATATGTGTGAAAATATATATTTTATTATATAAAATAGAACTTCAGGTGTGTAATATTTTGTATTTTTTTTTAAATTTTTTTTTTTATAAATGTATAACATGTTAAAAAGAACGTTTAAGTGTTACTCCATTAAAATGAAAGATATCATAACACAACTTTTGTGCACATTAACACTGGATCTAATTCTTTTTTTCAATGTTTTCATCACCATTATTAGTCACTTATCATAATGGGACATGCTTCCCAGTACTACTGTTTAATCATCTGCCATTAGGGGCTGCTTCTTTGAGATCTTTATCATATTCTAAGTCCTCATTTTTGGTAAAAGATTAAATCACATGGCGTTGTAAGGGGAATGCTTAAAAAGTCCACTTCAAATGCATCTATTTTTGTTATGTTGCTGCAGCTGTATGAATTTGAGCATTATTGTGAACCAATATGATCAGTCAAACAATTCACGCCTTTTGTTTTAGATAGCTCATTGAAGAGTTTCCCATTCGGCTGCTGATTATTACCCCTGTCTTCATATGTATTAAAGAAGCAGTAGACCATTGCATTCCCAAAAGACAATGTCAGTTTCCTTGTGATCAGATTTACCTTTTCTGGGTTTTGAAGGAGACCTTGTGTAATGCAGTTCCAGTGAATGATGCTTGGATTCAGGTGTTCTGTATAAAACCCATATTTCATCTTCCATTACAACATGGTTTAAAAATTCATCGCCATCTTCATAGTATCAAGAATCAGATCAAGTGCTGCTTTTTTCGTAGACATCTGCCTAAAGTTTGGGAGACCACCAACAAGTATACATTTTCATGTAGCCCAAGATAATCAGTGAAAGCTTTGTAAGAAAAATCTCAGAATTTTTGTGCAAGAATTGTTAAGTGTTCATTGTTTTCATGCATCTAATTTTTTTTTTTTTTTAGTTTTCATGTAATGAGCGATGGCAAGCCATCTGAGTCTTTGTTATGCAAATTTATCTTTTTTTTTTCATTGGACATGATACACCATTTTCTTACAGAAAGTTCATTCATTGTACTGCCACTATCAATTTCTTCCATTTGCATATAACTTTTAATGATTCTAGACGTGGCCAAAGCCTTTGACTGCATCAGGCATACATGGCTCATCCACATGGAGTTCCTATATGAAATCTTTTTTATGATCAATTCATTTCTCAAATAGATCTTTCTCCATCAGACAAGGTGACATCATTTCAAGTATCAGAAATATCTACGTCCGATACTTTATATTATATATGTAATATTTTAGGCATGATACTTTATATTATATATACCAATTACTTTCTTGACTTCAGGACTGACCATAACTCCTTGCTTGCCTGCTATGCATATGACATGGCACTCATAGTTAAATTATAAAAGCCTGACCACGCAACAGTTAAAGCTCCAAGAAAAAGTCCCAGGAAGTAAGCAGTGGTGCGCTAGTTGAAAAACTAGCATCCAGCCAGATAAATCACAAGTACTCCTCATAAGAAAATATTGTTGCAAAGATGAAATCAGGAATGTCATTCTCTTCAGACAGCTAGTCCAGAGTGAACCAAGCCGATTACCTGAGCATCACTCTCAACTGTTCTATTACTTGGCCGACACACATAAACAGAGTCCATTACAAGGTGCTTGGAGTTGCATTTCAACTTAACACTCTACTAAAAAATGAACTGCTGTCATTAAATAGGAAGAAATAAATTTACATCTTTGTCATCCGCCCCTTTTTTACATACATGTCATGTACGTTGGCAAATGTAAGTAAGAAAGACATTCAGATTCTTCAGAAGCTACAAAATATTATCCTCAATCATTATTGGAGCTCCTTACTATGTGAGAAACAGAAGTATTTATGCTAATGTGAAAATTGTCAGTCGCTGACTATCTTAATCAGATAAACAAGAAGATCTTTGAAAATGCATTTCACAGTAAATTTCATGTTTTGCAGATGTTCTTCCCTGTGAAATTCTTGATGAAGTTAGGGAATTGGAAATCTCAATAAAAATAGAGAATCAGTGCTGCCTTTTACCTAAAAGTGTTAATTAATTTATATTAGTGCAAGCCATGCTGCTTAAATACCTGAGTGTCAGGGGTTCTCTAACTAATCACATTGCTGCAATGATAAACAAGGGTCAAATTCTGACTATGTTATACTACTATGGTGCTATAAGTGACTTGGAGAACAAATTGTTTACCATCATCATAATAATATTCATGTTAAATTGACAGGTCATACACATAGCGTTTGGTATGTATTTATGCTTTGCTGATCTAGATGTTGAATTTCTGTTATGGTTGATATGCACATGACCGAAAAGAAACACTGGATTTTTCATGCTATGTAGAAGTAGTTATCCAGTATTTCAGAACTCTTTCAAACAAAAAGAGACAAAGTACCTTTTTTGTGTTCCATTTAGTTCCCATTCTCAAAGACGATTTACAAATAATGAATTTTCAAGTATGAGGCCCTTCATGTGATATGAGGCTCTGGTAAGAGCAGGATACATTCCCACTGAACATCAGAATAAACAGCAAAGCATCAAAACATCTAAATAAGCCAAATATATTGCACATTCAGGAATAAAATAATATTTCAGATTTCATGCTTGGAGGATTTTTTATCCTCAAGGCCTTTTTGGGAGGGGGGGGAATGCCAACAATACAAATTTAGCAAGCACAGCAACAAGATTTGGCTTAGATTAATGTACTGGTTTTGTAGTAACTGAGGCAGGTTGTCATGTGCAGGCATAATGAGCAATTATTATTCAATTTTTTTGATGACCTTCGTAACATTTTAGGTATTTTAATCTAGAAATCTGTGTTACTATATGAAAAGAATTTTTTTTTTTTAAACTGAAGTATATTGATTCCATCTTAACATCTGTTATACTAGAACTTCAAAACTAATGTTATGAATTTAAAAGGCCAAATACTTGTTTATAATAAATGTGTATACAGTATCTGATTTATTGAAATAGATTTTTTTTTTAATTGTAGAAAAAATAAAAGCTAAGGAAGAGCCAGGATCTGTTTTTCAACGACGTAGAGTAGATGTTCTCCTTACAGAACTTGCAAAGAAATTTCCACCAAAATTACCTTCACCACCACAACTGGAGAAACAGACAACTGGTAAAGTCATGATTCTGAAATTTTTGTACACTAATTGAACTTGTGGAATGTTTACTTTCATGAACTTAACTCTTTGACAATAATTTAGTTTTCATAATTGATTTATGTTTTGTTTTAATTAGTTGGCCAAATCAGCCAGATTTCAGATTTTTAAATAATATTTATATTTTCAGTCATAATTTTTCTAGAAACAGCCATGTGTGCTTTTATGTATTTAAGCAAACAACAAACAAAGAAATAATGAGCATAATTGAATAACTTAAATCATATCTAATAAATGGTAATATTTTATCTTAATTTTGCTAGATCATGTTTTGAACTTTTTCATTTATATATTATTATAATAGAGTATTGGATGGAGAAAGTAATGTTCTGGTACAATTCAGAATGAGGAGAGATATTTTCGTTTTATGAAAAGAGTAATATTTATTAGCTGAATATATGTGATTAATATTTTGCAAGATGTGGCCATTAATTTCCAGGACTGATTAATAACTCCAGAAAATATATACCCATTTAATATGTTTCGAAGTAACTCCCACCTGATGTACTGAAATTCTGTGCTCAGCTGCATAAACTTTGGGAACAAATGTCTAAAAAATCCTCTTTCATAATGTTCTGTAATGAGGACATCACCGTTTTCTTGATGGCTTTGACATCCTCAAATCTTGTTCCCTTAAATACATTTTTCAGTTTTGGAAACAAAATAAGTTTGCCAGTGTTGTTGGAAAGTATGGAGGATGCTGCATCTCCACCACCTCATGCTGGCCCAAAATTCACTTCACAGGTAATGCAGTGTGATTCTGGGCACTGTCATGCAAAAGCAGTCAATTCCTATTCTGTTGAAAATAAAACCTTACTCTGTGAATTCTTTGTCAAAGTCTGGAAAGAACTCTGCATAAAACTGTCCGGTGACAGTCTTGTCAGAGGGAAAAAAATTCATTCTCGGTTGTTTCTGAGGGTGCACACAGAACGTGGCTGTCCAGTGTGTAAACCATTTTTGACATTTACACGACTGTCCTGAAAACAGCTAAACCATTAAAAGGTGTGTGAATGGGATGATGCTTCCTCTCCACATACTTGTTTCAACATTTCATGGGTGTCTGTGGCAGTTTTGCTCAGTTTGAAGCAGAATTCAATGTTAATTCTCTAACAAAAATTTAACAACTGTGTTATAATACGCATTTCAAGGACAACCATTTGCTTCTAAAGGCATGGATTTTATTAAACATGTGCACATAAACGACCTTCCAAATACAAACATTAATGCAATCTTATAATTTACGATTCTCATACGGTTATGTTGGCCTTGAAATTAATGGCCACACCTTGTAGTATTTATTTTCGCAATCACCTTTTCTTTAAGTTTATATTTGTAACTTTGGAATTATGGGCAACAAAAAAGTTGACGCATTGTCTAAGAAAAAAGACTTTTAATAATGCAATGTATTAATCGACCACTTTCTTTTCATATGACTAAATCGTTTGTTAACCTGACTCTTAAGAAAATTCTTAAATGAATCAACACACTATGGATAAGGGATGGAGGATTCTGTGGAGAGAGAACTTTGTTTCCCAGTTTTCCAAGAAAGACAGCGGTAGCTCAGTTTAGACGTCCGTCTGGATATGGCTTTGCAAGACCACTTCTACAGATATGGACTGGTCGATTCCCCAAACTGTTTTTTAGTATGACTTCAATCAGCCTATGATTTTTTAATATTTAAATAACTGTATTGCACTTTCTTAGTATTAGGACATTGTTAAAAAGTACTGCAGAGCTCTTGAACTAATAGCTTAAGCCCTGATGTTTGGCATTTGTAAAATTATTAATAATAATATTTGCAACATTAAATTAGAGAGCAAAGTATTTTAAATAATATAGTTATATATATAAAGTAGCAACAAATCTCATGAAAGCATTCAAATTGGCAAGCCACTCACAGCATGATCTTCAAGAAATAAAACCATTCAGCTTTTTTGTGATTTCGCAGCAGGCAGCATTGATTGCATTGCAATCCAGGAAGTTTCAGATCCAAGCCAAGAGTTTGTCATACTGACTAGTAAGTTGTTATGGTAGACTACAATCACTGATCAGATGTTCCTAGTTGGTGAGAGATTTAAAGAACATGCCAGCTTGTCAGCAGTCAAACATCATATGTATTAACCCCTTGACTGCCTCAGAAAACATATGAGATTCACTCCCCAGTGTCACTGTTTTTTACACTGGCGAGCATAGTTATGTGATGTATTAGGGGTAAAATAAGTACAAGTTTTGTTGCCTAAAAACTGTTTACTTTCACAAAATAAAGAATAAAACAAAAAAGGAAAATACAAAATTTAATGTTTAGAGTAAAACTATAATAAAAAGATATAATAAAAATGATATTTGTATACAATAAGATGTATAAGAAAAAAGATCCCCAAACATGGAGTTTCGATCAATTTATTTTTAGACCAGTAATATCAGGTTTCAATGTTATATCATGTAAAATGAGTATACCTAAATGGAAAGTGTGGAGGGGGCATAGGCAAGTTTTACATATCAATTCGTACCCAACGTTGAGCATCTTTCGGAGAATAGTTGCAATCCTCTTCATTTAACGCGATATCATATTCTGAGGTGTCCAATCCTTAAGATGACGGAAAGTAATCATCTATTTCACTGTCACACATATTCATGGAAAAAGCTCTACTAAAAACAGTAAACGAAAATAGAAGACAGAGAATAAAAAAGTATGTTTTACTCAAATGAAAACACGAGCAATAACTGCACAGTCAAATTAGTCATCATTGTCAGACATATTCCTAAAAAAAGCACTTACTACAAACAGTAAATGAAAATGGAAGCACAGAATAAAAAAATATGTTTTACTCAAACAGAAACATGACCAATAACCGCACCATCATTATGTTCACCATTTCGGAAAAGCAGCAAAGCAAATGATAGCATTTCGGAAATGCATATACTATATATGCCCAGGCAGTTAATGCATTGGCTGAGCAAAACATATGGCAGTTTAAAGGGTTAAAGAAACATGTCATCTTTTATTATCTTGTTGAAATGTAAGGAAGTGGAGGCCCGGAAGAGATGACAGCCACAAACATACAAACCACAGTAATGTAACTGTGGCTGGTCAAAGTACATACGTAGATTAGAGATGAATGGGTTGTGTTTTCATTTTCATCTCATACTATCAATCCAGATAATGGATTAATAATATGAAGAAAAAGATAAGCTTCCAACATTCATTCACCTAGGTACTTTTACACACTAATATGGCCATCAAGAAAATCAAAGAAAAAGTCGAATTAATCTGAAGACATCATGCTTTGATAGGCATTGCTGAACACACCACTATAGGCATTGATTCCAGTGCTGAAGCATTTACATACGAGTACCTAGTGCCATGCAGCATACCCAGTGTATATGATTTCTAACAGTGATGTGTTAGGCTTTAGTGATTGACAGGACATTTAGGTACTTCCTGTCACTTTGCATGGTTCTTCTGATATCTGTCAATTGCAAATTCTCATGTTAATATTTGTTCTCAGCATAAGCAGTAATTCTGCAGCATGATAATCCATGATTCTGGTAGATTATGATTAGCCTGCCATAAATTCAAATGCGCTGGTACAAGTTCCTTTTCCAAAGAATAACACAATTTCCTACACATATATTTAAAAAAAAAGAAAGAAAAAGAAAATGGAAATGCTGCTCAGAAATGAAAAATCAGCATTTCTGTATGCCTTACCGTTGTACAGTATCAATAGTTTTGCCTGTAATGTATGCCTACTGTGAGGTATTATATTACCTTTCATGTAAATTTCTGTATGGTTGAGCACTTCCTTCATGGTGTAACAATTTTAATGCCTATAATTGAAGTATTATATTAGGGAGCATTCAGATGGCAGTATAGCTGTCACTCTTGTTATAGCCATTAGTTTCATTCACACCTGAGGAACAACATTGAAACCACAGCCAATCAAAGATGTTTGCGATGGTTGTGTTTGCTATGCTATGATTGGTCAGCTGTTATACCACACTGGCATAAAGTTCAGCACTTCTATTATTACATTCAAACAGCTGTATCAGTTCTTTGCAATGCTCACCTTTTCCTAGAGAAAAGCACAAATATCCTTTGGATATTCTTACCTAACATTTTGTTAATTATTTGAAGTACTTACTACCTTACCGATCCAACTTTTTTCACATTGCATGTCTATTTTCATTCATTACATCCTTCTTCACTGACTGATGGCGGCTAAGTGAAATATCCCATTCTATCATCCTTTTGTTGTTCCAGACATTCTTTTATCTGATGCAGAGTAAAAGCACGCTGTCACTCTTTCCATTCGACACAAGTCAAGATTTAGATAAAATCCTTATAACAGTTTCTGCGAGGTAGCAATGGCTGCCTGCCAAGCAACACATGGTCATTTTTGTAAGTTGTGACAGGTACCATTGTTTTATTGTTTCCTTTAAGATAAATCTAATATTAAAGGAAACTTCAAATTAGTAGAAGCTCTTTATTCTAAGGATTCATTCAAAAGCTAGAAGTATAAGAATAGGATAAGTACAGTCAGTATAGTTATAGCAAGTAAATAATATGAAAAGGTAAAAAGCATTGCCTTATATATGTAATTACTTTATGCTATGATTTATTTGATTATTGTTATTTTCAGTGTATTTTATGCATTTATTTAATAGAAGAAGCTGTAAAAGTAGAGCCTAAAGTTGAAGTCAAAACTGAAAAAGTAGATACCTCTGCAACAACAGTAGTTGCCACTACAACCACAGCAACAGTAACTACTGCAGCATTGGGAGCAGCAATAGTAACAACAGTGAATGCAATTCCTCCTCCTCCAACTACTACTGCAGCTGCATCTGCAGTTCAACGTACAGCTATGAAACCTCCACCAGAGAAAAAGCCACGCTTGTTATGAATTTTTAAACTGCTTAAAGATAGTTCTTCAATAAAATATTGATAACTTTTTATTAAAAGATATTGTCTATATCATGCATGATGATTCAGTTAATTTCTGCTTTATGGCAAAATCATGTAATTACTATGTTATGTTGTGACTTGGCAGTTGTTCCACACATTATTAAGTACGTTACAAAATGTGATTTAGCACTAAATTTCTATAGGAGCAGAAATTTGGAAGATTTAGTGCCAAATCAAGCAATTTATATGACTGTAAAACAAGCTGAAATGAAGAAGAGGAAATAAAAATTTTAAAAGTGTGATGTCAGCAAGTATTGATATGAGTATGTTGATTTAGATTGCTATGAACATTATTTGTATAGGCATGTTAAATTTTGGTTTTTTATGCATTTTTAGTTTGAAATGACTGTAAAGCAAGGCTAATATTTCTGTGCACATGGATTCACTGGTTTCCTTGAAGGTTCGCCACTTTTTCAGATGGCACAGACTCTCCTTCACCATCGATAGACAGGCTTGTATCATCGATAAGCAAAGTGGGCATTGTTTATTGATTACAAAGTTTTCAAATAAATAAAATTCAATTACTCTTTTTCTCATTTGCTCTACCATACGTAATTATTATTTTAAATCGTACATATACAGTCACTAGGTTCTAATATCTATTTTATAATCATGTATTATTTCTGCTTATGACACCAATACTGACATGTATTATTTTCATTTTAAACTCTTTACATGCGAAATTGCTATTTTTTATTAACAAGGGATCTAAACTAAGCATATCAATAGTTTTGATCATCATATCAGCAATATGAGTCACTTTCTGTTTATTAAGACTATCGAGATTTCATAATTGATTACAAAGTGCAAAGTATATCAGCTATTCCCCATCGATGGTGAAAGGTATGTGCCATCTGAAAAAGCGGCGACCTCTTTGGAGATTATTTGGGCTGTATACATTTAGAAAAATATTTACGTATTTCTTTACATAGGATTTAACTAATAGTATTAGAATTGGCAAAAGTGGCCTTTCTATTTGATATTTTTCAACTTGTGAATAATCTGAATGTTACATAAATTATCAAAAATATTTTTGACTTAGAAAATATAATTGATTCATTCAAGAAAACAAATTATGGGAAAAAAATTAGAGAACTATTTTGCTGTTGCCTGCCCTCTTTATATTAAGAAGTGTTCATGTATTAAAAAAAGTATGAAGTTCTTCAAAGAATTTTGGGGGTTTTTTTTTCGGACAGTTTAATGCTAAATTTTTTTTTTGTTTTTGTTTTTACTATTCTAAAAAATAATCTGATTTCAGAATCAAAAAATAGTTTGATTCTAAAAATAGTTTCATTTCCAAGTGAAACCAAATACGTCATTGTATTTAGTTTCTATAAAATTCAAAATAGTGTGAAATGCAGTCACAAGATTTCTACTTAAAATATAGTAATTTTTGCTAGAATGATAGAAAAAACTGGCTAGGTTTGTATCTTGAATAAGGTATGAACCATATATAACTTGAGTGTCTTCATGGATTGGTCATGCAAGTCTATATATCTATTTATGCTTCTGATAACCTAGTTACAATGTGCGGTTTAAAATATTAAGAACTAAACAAAAGATTCATTTCTTTAATAGAAACTGATAATTTGACAAGTACAAAGTATTAAACATCTAAACATAAGTGAACTTGTCTTTCATTCTTATAAAATAATAAGAAAGCTTAAATTGGCAATATATATATATATATATAAAGCATATATTTTTCTACAAATGTTGAAATTAAACTTACACATATACAATACTGTTTACAGTAGGAACAGTTTTTGTTAAAATTGAATTTCACTTTAAAACAGAAACAGTATTCAAATGTGTATACATAGGAAGCAATTTAAATTGGCAACTTACATATATTTATAAAAGAAAGTGCATATTTGTTTTGATGAAAAGATTTATATATAATCAATCCTATGTTAGCCATCAATACTATTTTAAAATTATAAACAATTATGTATGTTTCATAAATTGAGATATTCATTTTAAAATTTGATATAAATTGATAGTTCTATCAATATATTATGTGATTGAAAATAAGGGAAAAAGATTACACATTAATATACTCTTCACTAGATTAGAATTTTGATGACTGATAAATGACACTGATATTGACAAACACTAATTCTGCACCACTGGGATGTAAATTTACTGGATGACTAATACTTAAGTTAACAACAAATCACTTCAGCCTATCCCTAAAATGTTCCATAAATTAGTACAAGTTAATTAAATAAAGGAGGGGCAGTTCAAGCAACAAAATGTTTTTTTTTTTAAATATAGGCAAAACAAACTTATAAATGTACAGTTTATATAAATCACTTCAAGAATGGAATTCATTACAGAAAGTATGTAAGAAAAACGTTCTTTCAGAGGAGAAAGAATAGAATTAGTTTCTGCTTTTGGATAAGCTCGATAACAGTCTCCAAAATAAGTATTATTTTTCAATTCCTATTCAATTCAAGAGAAAATCATTGTACATCTTTCGGATCAAACCAATCCAATCTTATGTTACTTTATACCAAAGATGGGCAAACGGATATTATATATCCATCTCCTTTTATACTTTGTTTAAATATTATTTTTTTCTTTCTTTTATTCAAGGGACTGATGACTGTTTTACTTTCTCTATTTTTGCTCTACAAAACATAAAATCAACAGAAATATCAAGCACAGACAGCTTTAAATCGGTAAAGTGTTTAAAGCAGAAGTTCTTTGTTAGTTACAGCTGCAGATTGGCGCCAACAAGCATTATCTCTTTTCCGAGGAGCAGACATACGGGAATCCGATATAGGTGAATTAGACCTCACATGTGGTAGACTGGCATTTTAAGCTCCAGTCTGCGGCTTTTTCTTTTGGTGCAAGTTCTAATATTATTGATTGCGTATGGAAAGATTACATATAGCATCAATGTGAATAGTGGTGAAATTATTAAAAGCATAGCATAGCTAGTGCTTGTTTGAGTTATTCGTAAAATATTTAACTCCAAAATGGCTACTAAAAACATAAAGTTGATTTAGAGTGCTTTTAATGATGAATGGACCTGGAAATAGTTATAAAAGATAAACCAATATGTCTCATCTGCAATGAAGCATTAGCAGTCTTCAAAGAATATAATATTTCCTGTCATTCCACATCTAAGCATAAAAATTCCAATCATGAAGCAATGTCCGAATATGACAGAAAACAAAATACAGAAAGTCTTTGTAAAAAAATTATCAGGCAGACAAAATTTTTTTCAAGAAGATAAACATTATTCAGATTTCAATCTATTCAATTCAAAATTGGATATTTTTACCATGCCCTTCAACATAATTGTGAAGCAGTGAGGTCAGATTTGCAGCTTGAATTAATTGAGTTGCAATCTAACAATCATCTCAAGCAGTTATTTCTAAATATGCCAAAGTTAGAGTTTTACCAATCATTATCGAAAGTATTTCCCAAATTTAATATCTCATGCCCAAAAAATCAGTGCTATGTTTGCTTCACTTTATATATGTGAAAAACTGTCTTCAGCTATGAACCTTGCAAAGAATTATTTCAAAAATAGACTGACAGTTGAGCATTTAACCGTTATCCTTAGAATCAGTACATCTCACTTCGAACCTCAATATAAGGAACTTTTAAAAATGAAATTGCAATTTCATTCATCTCATTAACATATTTAAATTGTAATACTTGTATATTGCTTTTAAAATTTTATAAAAATTTGCCCATCTCTGCTTTATACCCATCCCTTTTTGTTAGCACAAGAAAGAATTTTACTACTTTTAGAAGCTCTGCGATATAAAACCTTTACCAATGACCAAGAGCATTTTGTGGAATCAGGCATACTTCCTACTGAAATTCAACTTAAAATTTCTTTGACCAAATGGAAAAATTCCAAAATCTAATAAACTGTTAAATTAAATTAAATAGAGTAATTGAATAATTTAATACAACACACAATGCATTAAGAACCACATAATTTATTTCATCACGCTTATTATACAAGGCAAATAAAAGAAGTATACATAGGAAATATACATCTATGAGCTATTAAAAAGTAGATAGGATTAAAAAAAAATAAATATCAAACTCTAGGAAAAATCAATCATCATGCAAAAGATATTTATTACAGTATATCTTCATAGTAAATATTACTAATAAGGTATTTCAAAATAAAAATCAGGAGCTGAACCCCTTTATATCACCAAGATTTTTTTTTACGACCCCATAATATTTACAATAATTTTGTGGGGACCTATAAACATACTGTGCAAATCCGACACACGTGTGAGTGAAATTGTCAATTTTTTTCACTTATACTGTAATATACTATTGTAGTTTAAGTTATTAATTTTAATTTCTAATTTTAAGACATGGAACAATGTGAAATTTTTAAATAAGTAACATGAAATGACAGCGTCACATGCAAACCAAGTAAAGTGAATGTTTATATTATAAAAAGAATGTGTTGAAATGTTTTTGTTTTCGCTTTGTTTGTGATGTCTTTATCTATTTTCAGATACATTGTGTAAAAATATTTGGTTATTGTAAAATTATTAAAAGTTAAAGAAATATCAAAACTTAAAATTTTTGGCAACCCCCATTTTAAGAAACTCTGATCTAGGGTAATTATTTTAAATTGAAACATGATTTCTGAACTACATCATTTTAAAATTGAAATTACAACCCCCCCCCCAAAATATAGAACAGCTGCAATTCTGATGAGAACAGTGAACAGCTCATTAATAGATGCAGAAAAGAGTTATGGTTTGTTTAAACTACACGAGATATGAGCTGAGTAAAATACTTTATTGCAAGGAACTTTCTTGTTAATTTGGACAACTTTTGTTCTTAAACCATTTATTATTTGAGAAGATGGATCCTCTATTTTTATCCATATACTCCTTGAAAATAGCCTTTCTTTTGTCCGCATTATTGTCTCTGTTTTTTAATGTCATGAACATGTCAACTGATACTGTTTCCTTCAGATGTTTTAGCTTGGCTAGTATGTGCAACATTTGATGTTTGAACTTTAACACCACAAGAAGCACTTTTTGTATTGCTTGGAATCGTAACTGGTACTAAATAGCAGATTTTTATAAAAATGCATAAAAGACAAATAGAAATACTTTCCCAGTGTTCAAAAATTCTCAAAAACAATTGATGCATACAAATAAGCTTGCACAATTGCACTACAGTTAACAGTTTTAACAGAACCAAAATTAATCTGATCTTGCTCATGTGAAAATAATGCCGGATTACAAAATGAATCAACTGGTGAGGGCCAACATGTAGCTTTATCTTGATAAATCTGATAAACAGCACAATAATAACAGTTGTCTGTTTCTTCCTACTCAATACATCTATAGATCATCTTTAAAATTTACACGAGCACAAATTTTAAATGTGAATTACTTTTAATCATGTGTAGTCATCTGAAACACTATTTCATAGTTGCTGATACATGGTTATATGAAGCTACAAAATAAAATGTAAACTTTCAATAAATACATTTAAAAAGTGTTATTAAAATATTAGA